CCACAGTAAGTCTTGACAATAAGGCTGCTGAAATCCTAGTTGAGGGGAGTGATTCAGGCTAACCAGCACTCCAAGTGCAGCAGCACAAACGTACTTTTCTCACCAGACCATATGCACATCCACACTCCCGTCTGTCTCCTACAAAAAACCCCCACACGTTATGACAAAATACAATCCTCCTGTTTGGAGAGACAACTGAGTGACAGAATTAACATTTCACTAGGTTGTGATGGCAACTGCACTGCCCTTCCACAGATCCAAATTCAGCCCCACTGTCAGCCACTGCATACAACAGATTTCTACTTAAGAGATGTAAGCTATTCTCTATAGCAGCTGCTGGAATGTCACTGCCAACCAGCAGAGATTGCAGTGCTCCTGTATAAGCAGAGAGGGGTATGGATAATGCCCTCACAACAGGCAAATACACATTGCTAGCAATCACTACAAACAGAGCCAGGTCTGACATCCCGGCCTGCAGCAGACTGGACTTATCAATTACGGTGCATTGTGCTGCATACCTGGAGAGGGCTTGGCCTCCTGGCCAGTAAATTGCCCAGAATGGGTCCCCGTAAGGCCACAGGTCGGGTTTTTCTCTCCAGAACCTGCAGCGAGGGGTGAGGAGGCGCAGCCGTATCTCTGGTGTGAGGTGCCCACTGTTGGTGACCTCCGTGTTCTCCTCCAAAAATGCTTTCACCTCGGGGTCCAGAGACTTGCCAGCACTCCAATGGCAACAGCGCTTCCAGCCTCCCCTCCTGCTACTCCAAGCTTTGGCAAAGAAGTTCTTCCTGTCCAAAGGGAGGAGCCACTTCCAGCCACGGAAGGCCATGCTTCCCCAAGGAGACGAACCCTCCCCAGGAGAGCTCAGAGCACAGCTTATCTGAAGCAGGATAATGAGGCAGAAAGCTTGAAACAAACTCACAGGACGTTGTTGTTTTTCATAGCGATGGATGACAATTCCTGAGAGGAGAAAAATGCTCCGTAAGTGATGTTTCTTCAAGGCTTTGCACCACCAGGGACTTTAGGAAGGAAAGGTCACTGTGCTGCTGTGTGACCACAAACACGTGCCTTGCCCCTGCTCAGGGTCTTTTAAGTCTGGAAGATGGGGTATTCAAGGAAGAAGCTTTCAAGAGACCCATTCAGGAGAGTACTATGAACATATCCATTGAGAAACAACCAGTTAGTAGGACAGCTGATACAGGCAAAAATTAAATGTAGCCTTTTAACATCTCCCTCCCTCTGCCCCTACAATCTACTCTCATTTCAAGTTTTTCCATTGAATCTTCAGATTTTGCAGGAGGGCTCTGGCATTGCAGGGCCTATGGACATAGCAAAACTGATCTTAATCAGAGTACTCCCAATTTGTTGCATTTCAGTCTGTATTTTAAAGGATCAGTTAGTGTTACAGTGCAATAGTCTCAGGTGGTTGCTGTCAGCTATAGAAGAAAGCAGAGCTCCATCATTCTGCCCACCCCTGCCAATTTTTCACAAGAGAAGAATCGTGGACCACTTCACCATCCAGAGCTGTGCATGTTGCCCTTAAAAAAAAGCTAGACTAAGGGACAACAGAAAAAATATGCCAATAAAACGAAGTCTTAAGACTTTGTATTTCATTACTTCTGTTTCTCTTTATTTGTCTGTGTCTTCAGTAAAAGTCCATATGTGTTTAGTGGTGTTTTTGTTGTGTGCTGGCCTCTGCTTTAGGTACTGGCTTTGGTAAATTTGACCACTTGCCAAAATGTTAAACTGTGAACTTCCATCCCCTAACACTTTGCTGTTGAGGCTGATACTCCCATTAAGTCTTTGTTTAAATCACTGGCTAAAAGCTTTGTGGTTTCATTAGAAATAAACACACACATTTGAACATACTGCGTTTTTCCATTCAGCAGAGTCCATGTAATTAATGAATGTAATTAATGAATGCCTTCCTTCTTGAAGGCAGAGCAGTATAATCCTCTTCTGCCTAAGGGAAGCATGATGTTAACTGCAATCAATCTGAGAGATAAATCTTGTCAGCTAATGCTGTATGCTGGCTTTTCCCCATGAATTGCTGCAAATTATCAGGGCTGAGGCTCTGCAGTGTTTATTTTGCAACGCCTGCCATGATGGTTACTTTCCTGAAATTAATCGACGGTAGAGAAACACCTGCCAAGAGCTCTGTGCTCAAAATGCCAAACTGGGCTCAAGCTCTTAGTGAGAGGGAAGGTGTCAGGATAGATATCCCTGCGTTTGACACTTCCAGCCTGCCTGCCTTATTGGGAATAAAATCAGGATAGATAGCAGGATGGCTATCCCTGTGTTTGACACTCTCGGCCTGCCTGCCTTATTGGGATTAAAATCAGGATGGATAGCACGATGGGTATCCCTGTGTTTGATGCTCCTGGCCTGCCTGTCTTACTGGGAATAAAATCAGGATGGATAGCAGGATGAATATCCCTGCGTTTGACACTCCTGCAGGGCCTGCCCATCTTGCTGGGAATAAAATCAGTGGGCGAGCAGAACTTGGAAAAGGGGACAAAACCGAGCGAAACCTACGAGAAAAACCCCACCTTCGAAAAAAACCCCAACAAACAAACCAAAAAACAAACACACATACAAAAACCAAAACCAAAACAAAAACAAAAGCCTCAAACAAAACAAACAAACAAAAAAAAAAACAAAAGCCTCAAAAAAAACAAAAAAACAAAAAAAAAAACAAAAACAAAAAAAAAGAACGAATCCCAAACCAAAACCAAACACCAATTATTATGCAATTTAAGCTTTTTTTTTTTTTTTCCCAAGGCAGCAAGTG